TCAGTCTCGCTGGTCTGTACTGGTATTCTGCAATCTGTCTAATGGACAGGTATTTTTCCTGGAGTGTGACATCTGAAATTAGAAACAGTATTTTGGTAATGCCTTATTTATTATGAATAAAGTGATTACAAACCCATTCTCAAAGATAAATAGGAGGGCTTCTTTATTCACTGCTCTGACTAAGAAAGCTTAGTTAATATGTGAGTCAGATAAATTGACAACGCCACAGAGATTAATAAATTCTAATAGGATGAATGTCATGATAAAAGAAAGAGGGGTATACTAAGTCCATTTGAATGAGCACACACAGAAGCAAGTTTTCACATCTAACTGGCAGAGGTGATAAAGTCTGCGGTCCGCTCCCCACGTGCAATAAGTAATGTCAAACTTATCCTTTGGATTTTTGGTATAATACTTACATTTTAAGCTAAGCATTAGTCTTTGTTTTATATGGAAGTAAAATGAAAAGACTTTGATCTCATTCAAGGTGCAAAGGGTTCTGCTGATCTGAAGAGATGAGTCAGAAGTGACTCATCACCTGATTTTTGGCAAGGTACTTAGAACATGGACAAATTACAAGGTGAATGGTAGGAATCATTTGAAACACTACGCTCTCTCACTGTTATTTAACGGCTCTATTGGTTTAATGTTACACACTTCTATTTTTCTGAAACCTCACAGAAGAACCAAAAGGCAGAAGGTTTCTCCTCTGTATAAGATTTTTATTCTTTTTACTTACATTTCACAGATTGTAACATTCTGCCAGTAATACAGCCCGTGTAGTAGAACCTATCATAGGCACCAGTTGCTGTCACCTGTGATCTCTTGGAGTACAGAAATCAAAAGATGACTCATGGTGTACAGATTCCAAAAGAAACCTTCCGGTCAAATACTTCTGATTATGTTGTGCCCTATTTAAAGGGTGCCTGCAGTGTCACAGAACCAAATAAGTGCCAATCACTTTAATACATTAAGCATCCATTATTCAGTTTCCTGAGCATATCACAACAATAGCATTTAAAGTCAGCCAGTTTCTGGACAGATGTTTCCATCTCAGTACCAAAGGAAAACAGTTTCTTCTTTACTGGAACCACTTTCCATAGCTTAATGCTATTACTATTGGGGGTTGGAATTAAATGATCTATCAGGTCCCTTCCAACCCAACCCAACCCAATCTGTGATTATTAACAAAACAAGCAATTGCTTGTTACTCTAATTTTTTTAGGGTATTGCAGATAACGGAAATGAGACTAACCAGAAGTATTATTTCAAGTCTAAGCCAGTAATGTCTTGGAGAAATGAAAGCAATGGACAACAAATCCATTGAGACAGATTGCTCTGTTAAGAGTTACGTATCTGTTAGCTGGACTCATAACAATGTGGGGGATGTACACTATGCCAGGAGGGTCACTGCCAGCTAGAAACTCAAGTGCACTAGAATGTTTATCCCATAGCAGCTTGGTCCATAAGCTTTCTTCCTGTTTCCTCTGAAATATAAGATATTATTCTTTATCATTTAGCAGATGACAAAAGTACTAATTGCTTATGGCCCTATTAAATTAAGATCAGATAGGTACCAGTTAACAGTTGTGTTCTTTTGCCAGCTTAATCTCTGAGGATCTGCAGTATGATTCTTACAGCAAGTTAAAGGCTTGCTTCAGGAGATACCAAAAGGAAAATTCTTCATTGCAAAAATGAAAGCAATTCATTACCTCATTTGCCTTGACACAGACATAAGAAGCAAGTTGTCCAGAAACACAATTCTGAAGAAAGCTGGAAGAAAAAAAAGCAAAAGAAAACAAGGCCTTGATCATACTTTTTGTACCTCATTTAATCAACTTTGTATATTTTTCTCTCATCTAATTCTTATTGGCCACAGAAAAATCAATTTTCTTAAACTTGTATCACAACTTAAGTTATGATAATTGTATCGTTATTTCTCACTTCTATTTTAATGTCATTTCTAACAATATATTCTATAATTCTAATATTTTGACTTACCAAATATACCCTGTTTCCGTATTCTTTTGAAGACAATGAACTGGCTTGAAACAATAAACAGTGTCTCTCTCCTGAATAAGAACATATCTTTTATAGGTATGTATATGCCACTCCTACTTCTCCTTTCTAATTCTCATCACCTAAGCTAATTCCATCCTTTGACTCCAAAACATGTCTCTGACTGGGATTCCTGATCCTCACACTCACCAGCTTATGAGATGCTTCCAATTCTGCACCTCTCACACCTACTCAAATGTTTTTTGGACAAGAGGGAAAGTACTGCCCTGTGAATGTTAGTGCCACACATTCGACTACCTCAAATTCTGTGTATACTTTTAGAGGAACCAGAAGCCCAGCCTCAACTATGCCTGCCCAGCAGGAAGCACCAGAGCTAAAAGTAACCCCTTGAGAACTCTGCTAACTCCTTTTGTTGATTCACCTGCCACAGATTGTGGTTAAAACTGAATGCAAGAAGTACCAAGAAAAAATGGTTCTATGCACAGAGCAAATCAGGTCTTGCTCAAACATCATTAATTTGGACTTACCTTAAGTAATGTCGCACCAGTCCTTTCATTTTGGATCTTAGACTCATCATCTAACTTTGTCATGGAGGAAGAACTCAGGGGAAGAGGATTCAAGTAGTTCCTTTTGACTAGTGTAGCACCACCATAACATCCACAGGTCTCTAGAAGCATGGAGGGAATTGGGTCCTTACAGCAAACTTTGTAGTCAAGTTCTGTATGCACTGTACGAGGAGCATATTGTAGGAGCAAGTAATCCAACATCCATTGTAATGGAAGGCAATGAGGAGACTGGAGACTCTTGATAGGAAAAGGGGCTGAAGACTTCACTTAAACCTCCAAATATTATCCATAAAATGTATATCTACTGTAGCAGCTTAAACTTCAGTGTAGCCTAGTTTGGCCTACTTCTTGACAAAAAATGCGGTGAGTGTTGCTTTAGAAAGTATTTTAAGTGTGTTCTTTTGTGTGCTTTTCTGTGCTCCTTAGGATCCCTTGGTAGCTGTGAAGTGTGATCACAGATTTACATTGGTTGTAGTTTCTCAGTGGGCTATTACCAGAATAAGAGCGATATACCTTGTATGGAGATATGTTATTGTTGACAACATCTTTGATAGATTAAGACGCCTTCTGTTACAGTTACATCCCCTTCTGCAAACATGCCCTGAACCAACCTTTGCTGGCATTTGTACATTCTTTTACCCTTGCTCTTAGAGTAACAATCCCACATATTATGTATACATAACAGACATTTTGTGGATTTTGAATACATCATAATTAAGTATATCTTTGAAGTAAGCTATTGTAACTTGAAAATATCTAATTGGAAATACATATTAGCACATTAGGTTATTAAATGCTGAGGTTTGTTACTTGTTTCTGAATTTAAAAATTGCTTCAGTATTTCTAAAGAGTTTAAGGGAAACCTGAGATAAGAAAGTTGCTGGCATTGTTGTCACCAGATATAAATGCTGCCAGTGCTTTAGTAAAAGAAAAAATGTTATTTTTACTTTCTTATTCTTTCTTTATATTAGTTTTTAATTATCATTTTTTAAAAGGAAACTAAATGGAACTGTCCTGTAAAATAATATAACAGTAACTTTAGACAAGCTCACTTGCATCTTTTCTTCAGTCGAAGCAAGTATGAAACTAAACAGTATTGAAATGATTTTTTTTTTTTAATGTACAAACACATACGCTAAACACAAAATGCTGAGAATCCAGCATACTGAAACACGCATAATTTCTGTAGTCTTCAAATTATCTGTTAGGAAAATATACGAACAACAAATGAAAAATACAAGTGAATGGTAAATAAGTGCCAGCTTCAATAGTGCAACATTTTATTAATGACAGAAATATCTGGTTTTAACACTGCTGATGTTACAAAAAATTGCAGTGATAGTAATAGTGGCAGCAAAGGGGGATTTGGCACTGAATATATAAAATAGCAAAAGCACTTCTCAGTGGTCTTCTTAATGGATCAACAAAAAGCTTATTAGTGGAAAATTAAAAAAAAATAATTCCTTTCAGTTATTTAAACTGGCCAAAGAGCAGAATAAAAATTTGTTTGTGTAAAATAGTGCAATACAATTTACACAAGGTCATCCTAGGAATGTTACCTTTTTTTTCAAGTCAAGTGATGTAAATGTAAACACAAATATGCTAAGATACATTTAATAACTTGCATACATGTTCATTTGTTTTTATTCACTTCAACTGCACAGCGTATAAATGTTTAATACTAAAAGGTGCACTTTTAAAACTAGCTTTATTTGTGGCTTGCTTACATACCTGTAGCCTAGTTTATGCTCCTGCTTTTTTTATTCCCTCCCCACCCCCCCCGACCTATAGTGGTAGTGTTCCTAAAAAATACATGTGTGGTGTGACTAATTTTCTTATTTAAAAACTCAACCATAAGAATGTAATATAGTACAGTGATGCTTATCTTAGGCTTTACACGACATTTTCATGTTCTGCTTTCCATATATTTCAGGATGTACATCCAACTTGAAGGCAATATAAGCTATGTCTGTGATGGGAGAAAAGATGTGGGGCACATTAAAATACACTAGCCATTTTGAAACAGTAGTTTATGTCATCTTTTTTTTTTTTTTTTTAAATCTTTAATTCTCCTAAAGTTTTACATACAAAGAATAAATGAAATAAGATCTTAGTTCCTTAAAATTTAATACCGGAAACTGGTGCAAGATAAAAATCTGTGATGTGGTTGACTTGTTTTTTAAACAGGAACCTGAGTAAGGGCAGGAAATATAGCATTATGACTAAAAGAATAAAATCCCTTAATAATTTAAGTAGCTGAACAGGTTTTTAATGTTCTACCATAAAACAGCAAGGCAACAGATGATAATGGCCTTGTACTCAATGAATTATCATGAACACCCACTGCAAACCTGCAAAAATTTTCTGCAAAAATAAAACATCAGGTTATGCACAATAATAAAAAAGCATCAGAAATAGATGCACCTAGATTTTTTTTCTTTTTTAAACCACAAATACCAGAATTCAGCATTTATGTCATAGTCCTTGAACAGTTGCTCTGAGATGACTACATTAAGCACGCTACTGCACTAAGTAGACACCCCACAACAGGCGTGCACTGCAACAGTAACACAGTTCTCATATAGGCACAGACTTTTTCTTATTCATGTTCAAAATAACATGAAATAAACAACTCAAGACAATACTAGGATTCATTCCACATCTCCTTGTCAGCAAAAGTCCTTGCCACTTTGGTAACTGAAGTTACTGAATGTTTTTAAAAATTGCAGGTACCTCAAGGAAAATAAGAGTTCCATATTCAGCAAGGCAGCATTATATCAGGATATTTTATACCAACTAAGGCATAAAGAACTTTGCATCAGGGTATACAATACTCAATCTTTGAATAAAGTTTCATATGCTGTGTGGCAAAAGTGCATAGGAGTGGGGATTCCACTGGAGTAGAAAGAATCCTCTCACAGTATTAAGGCCTTTCAATTTTATGTGAACTGTGTCAGGCTAAAGTCAGCACAGTGGAAAAAAAATAGGCTGTCATCATACTGGAGACCACTGAAGTTTTCTTAGCATGTCTTGTATTCTCCTAGTTGTCGCTCATCTTCTTCATCAGCTTCCTCAATAACCTGAATTTCATCTGCTTGAGGTAAAGATGAGATCTCAGTCAGCAGTTTAGTTCCTTCAGCTTTATTTTTTTCTTCCTCTTCAATCAGTTTCTTCCATATTTTGTGATTTTCACTGAGATGGTGTATTAGCTGGCAAAATATTCGTCTACCTTTTTTCCTTTGAGCTTCTGTAAAATTGTAAGCATATTTGACTGTTTGAGATTCAAAGTAATTACATTTTACACATACAAAACCAATGGCATGTTGTAAGAGATGTAAACTTGAGCAAAAAGCATGGATGCTTATTCAGAATATTTAAATAGTGACATAGCAAAGGATAACAATGGGTTTCTGTTTCAAACTGCAGGTCTCCTGTTTTTAACAAAACTCTTATTAAAAAGAGTAAAATTTATGAAGCAGCATAACTGCAAAATCTACAATACTTGTACTACACAATTTCAACCATCACTGCTATGTCTGAATCTATTAAATGACAACTATATAAGTCAGCTGAAATACAGAAGCTTACTTAAAATGAGATCATCTTCCATTTCTTCAACATCGCTGTCTAACTGTGCTCCATCATCATCTTCAGTACTTTCTGCATCATCCTCCTCTTCATCAACCCATTGCCCTGGAAGCAACCCAGCTGCATTATAGGAATTACAAAGGGGACCAACTATGTGAGTGATGAAAGATTCTTGCAGTTTTGCAAGCTGTGGAGAAGAACGATCCATGAAGGGGCTTATAGGTAATCCAAGACTTGCCTCTTCATCACCCTGAAAAAGAAATGAAAAAAAAAAAAAAAAATCAGAACTTTTCAAAAAATTAACTTTAAATTTTTCTTCTAAATATTACTTTTAAGGAACTAAGTACACATCATATGGATTGTATCTTTTTACTAAGGGCAATAACAGTATTGATATAATATAGACTAAGTGAATGACAATTTAATTAGGCAAATTTAAAATAAAGACACATTATGTCTCAGACTTGCATAGCCCACAATCCTCCCTTCAGCTTTGCTGTGAGATACCCTTGTGCACAGATGGAGACCTAGTTCTACTGGAGCTTCTGTTCCTCTGCCTTTACAGGATGGCTTCAGGGTAGGCAGAGATTGGAATTCCAATTGCTGAGATGATAAACAGAGAAAATGTGAAAGTAATCAACTAGGGTAAGGCATTCCGGTAAACGGCTTCCCCCAAAAGTCGTAGAATGAAATGAACTGTAGTATTCAGAATAAAGTGGTTTGTTTTTTTTCCCATTTTATAAATTGGAGAAGAAAAAATTTAACAGTTGCTCATACACAACTGAAGTTATAAGCAGTTCTGTGGACTTGATTGTTTTACAAAAGTTTTTCCTAAAGGAGCAACTGAGAATACTAAGGTCTTCCAGTTAAGTGTAAGCACTTGAGATTATTATTGCTATTGCTTAAATTACCCAAGTGATTTTGTTGTTTACTTTTATCTTCGTAGTTTGAAAAATATTTTTCTATCCTTGGTTGTTGCCTCATAAACAGTTAAAGCTGACTACAGAAAAATAATGGAGTAGAAATGTAGAATATATTTTGGGGGACTTACAGAAGTTGTAAATGTATAAATAGGCAACATTTTTTCAGACTTTTTTCCCCGTTAATCTTGATAGGGTTATTAATCAAAGTTCCACTGTAAAAATATTATTTACATTTCAATATTGTTAGTTACTAATGTATATTTTTTAATTTCATTTTGAAAGTTTTCAAATATCGTCTGTCTTTGCACTAAGAGTTAGCTGAATATACATTTCCAGTCTTGTGGATTCTATGCCTATTCTTTGACCTGGAAACATTCCAATGAACATAACCTCCCAAAGTTGAAGCAGTTATTCTGGTTTATCAGCATCATCCTAAGACAAAAAAAAGAAAGAAAAACAAAAAGAAAAACAAAAAAAAAACCCAAAACTCGAAACAAACCAAAAGAAAATAATATCTGAAAAATGGACAACACTGGCAGGGAGCTTGTTTTCAAGTTTCTAACACAATTGATAGGAAGTAAAAGATTATGTTGGTGTGCTACCTGTAAAAATAATTTTTCAGTATTCAGAAAGAGAAGATGGAAATACCTTACCTGAAGATTTAACCCAAGAAATAACATTTAATTTAGTTATACATTTGGTAATGCAAAGAATTCATCATCTGCCTATCATGAAAAAAGAGTAAATTAAATTACACTTTCCATACTCACCTGTTCATAAAATTCATTAACAATGCCTTCTGTCCATTTCAGATGCAGCTCTCTCATTTTTGCTGGGCCATTAATATCTGCCAGTTTAATGCATATTTGACAGGCCAGTAGGCGATCATTTTCATTGCTCCATTCTATACCATGACTGTTAATATCATTTACCTGGGTTGAGCACATACATTTTTAAAAATTAAGTTAAAACTATTCATCAACATGTTTTTTTTCAGGCTTTCCACAGCACACACTTGCATTAATTTTTCTATATCTTTTTTTGTCTTATACAGTGAAAAAAACCAGTCATTTACTATCTTGCAGAAGATGGAAATATGGGATATGATCGAGGTCTCCTGTGGGTCCCTGTCGCATCTGCTAGGCTTATTAGTCAATCTACAAAACAATCTACAAGTGGTTTATACAAAACAAATACTCTATTTGCAATTATGAATCATAACGTAAATTTAAATCATATAAAACTTTAAATGCAAGTTATTAATACTCACAGCAACATCAACATCAGTCTATCATGACCAACTCAGTGCAGACACTAAAATGTAACAAACCTTGGCATTAAATTCTGCAAGGAAATCAAAATGCTTCTTGAGATCTGTGGCAAGGATTGCTTCAATCACTAAGAAACGAAAACGCTTGAATTCTACATGATCAAGATTTGATAAAAAGTTGTATTCTGGTCGTGATAAGAAAAGATTCCAGGCAGAAGCAGCATGGTGATTTTCTAAGACTGATCTGTCATTGTAGAGAACAGCCTACAAAAAAACAAAAGAGAATCATAAATGACATAGTAAAGATTTAAATTTATAATTAAATATTCTGAAGCTTAAGGCCTACTCAGAAAAAAATCTTAATTATAAAAAAAAAAAAATTAAACAAACAAAACAACGAGTGGAAATGATGTTTTGCCTTCTAGGTTTGAGGGTTAAAGTGAAACAAAAATGGCAGATGAGAAAAAAAAAATCCCCAAACATTTAGCAAAGTTTTTTCTTTTTTTAGAAGTCCTTAAAGATATCTTAGTGACATCTACATTCACACTGTAGACACACATACAGAAACCACTTAAAATGTAGACTTTGCACTCTTGGAGTGTATGTGGAGCACACATACTGACATAAAAAAACCCCAACCAACCAAGCAAGAAAACCCAAACCAAAACCCAGATCTCAGTATATGCTTTTAATTCCTCTTAACTCCAGTATTGTTTAAAAAAAAGAAACCAAAAACCAAAAAAACCCGCATGAAAAGAACTCCAAAGCATCTAAGAACTGTGGTTAATGCAAAATGGTGTGGAGTATCACTAGTTTTCAATGTGCTACATTTAATGCTGATGAACACATTTTAACAGCAAATGAGTTAATTAAAATATTAAAATAGTAGTAGATTTTACTCACAACTCCCATGTTTATACAAAACATCCTAGAAAATAATTAATTGAATATAGATTAAATAGGACCTGAAAAAGATTCTTTTGAAAATTGCAAAAATAATGTTTATGTTTTGAGGAAAGGAAGAGATTATTAACAAAATGAATGTATTTATTTTTGAAAATTGGAGATGAATGTCTGCTTTGTTTTTATTCTTCCTTGTACACTGTTTTGAGCAGAAATATGTAACTGCCTACATTCTAAACTTTTTTTGCAATTAGGAATTGTTGAAAACTGACTGGTAAATTCACTTTTAAAGTCTCCGTCTCCTGACAAGCTGTACTGGTTTCTGATTTCCCATTATTATTGTTGTTGCTGTTGTCATTATTATTATTATTTAAGTTTCTTGTCTCTAATTTATTAAGAGAGATCCAAATAGCCATCATAAATATTATTCCCCAGATAATTTCCCACTCTTCAGATAAAAATATTTCGCCACGCAATTTAGGCATCTTTTCTTCAGCGCTCGTCCTTCCAATTCTTCCCTGCCCCAACTTTTTTCTCCTATCTGCTATTTGGTTTAGCTTTACTCTCCTTTACCTCTTTCGTCTTAGCCTTTTAGATCCCGAAGAGCACAACATCTCCTTCCCTTCTACTCTCTCTTCTAACAAAAAAGTTGAATATGGGAGATAAAAACAAGGATGCCTTGCTGATTTCGTCTTACTCACACTCCCTTAAAGGTAATGGCTATTTACCATAAAGGACTAAGTTGAAATACAGAGATTAGGCAACGCAGATAATCGGACTATTAGAGGAACCTGTGTTTTTATGGTAACTACAGACACCACTATAACTTCAGAGGACTCCCAAAATGCAAGATATCCATGAATTATCTGCTTAGACAGTCCTAGGGCCAGCTCCCTATGAAATAGTCTTTGACTCTAACCTGCATTTAGGATTTTTCTTCAATTTTGGAAATTGAAAATTATTTTTACACACATACACAACCAATACATACAAAACAAAGCAGAATTTGGAAAAAAGAAGTATTACACAAGTTAAATGAAAATTATTTTCCCCATTTCTTAAACTGAGCAAATGATCCTAAACAGGCTACAGTAGGAACAGAGAAGAATTTTTATTGCTCTTATTTCAGATACAGACAAATAATTTTGTGGTTAAAGAATTTCTTACCTGAGGTGCATTTGTGGCGACCAGAAAGGCATTTGTACGACCAGGATGATCATAATCATGCATGGCAGCTGCTACATACAAAGCCATCAATTCCAAAGCAGAAAAATTCTTTGAAGAAATATAGCTAACTTGAACAGGGGCAATACCACTGGCTTCATCTAAGAAAATCGAAAATACAAAATTAAAATATTTTAGAACATTATTTCATTCATATTTTTAATACATTTTAAATTACTCATCCAGATACTATTGCAAACATTCATGACATTACGCAAGGAGGACAAAATCCTACAGGACATTGGGGAGCCTGTAAGAAGTGTCCCAAAACTGGAAAGCAGAATGTTTGTATTCTAAACCAAATTCTTTACCTAGTACTACATACAGATATACCTCAGGATCCACTTTTTCAGACAAGATTTCGCATTACAATGCTGAGGGATAACTACAATTCACACAAATAAAGGATATTTTCAGAAGAGCTGTGAACAGTCATAATCAGGAAAAAGAAGTATTTTTAATTTACCACAGTCAAAACTCACTCTTGCCACACAATCTCAGAAGAAGAAATGTAGACTTTACACTTTTGGCAATATGTGTGGGGCACATATCCACACTTACTGCCCTCATCAGAAGAGGAGAGGAAGGAAGAAAAGATTTGCCTTGATTCTTGAAACTGTATGGTGCCTTAGAAGACATAAAACAGAGGAAGTCACTCTCTTCGCAGCTACAGTTCACTTATGCTGCAGAAGGCTGGTTCAGAGGAATGGTTCAGCACACACAGAAGGCAATCTAGTGGAACAAGGGACACTGGCCATCTAGTCCATGTCTCTTGATTGCAGTAGAGTTGTAATTTAGATTAGAAAGAAACAATAACATTCTAAGGTTTTAAAATGCACTTGTAGGTATTTGTTCCGTGGGAGGGAACGAAGAGAAGGAGAAAAACTAGCAAAAGTGTGTGTCTCGTAGTCCAGACTACAGATCTTAGGAAATCCACATGGATACCAATGGTTACACATTATTGGTCAGGTCTCTAACTTCTTTGCCTTCCCCTTACTGTCATGCTGCTAAAGACCTCCTGTTGTTATGCAGACATGGAATTTTATTGCCTTCGTAAAATGAAGGCACTAGAAGAGCCTTCTACAGTCTCTCTCCAACCTCAATAAGGCCAAAAAAGGATCAATCAGCATCTCCCTTAATATTTCTATAATTTTCCCATTTCCTGAACTTGCAGACCTATAGGAAAAGCTTAGGGGACAGTGGAAGCTACTGCAAAAGGAACTAAACCCATTAAGTTAGAAATATTTGCATGATAAGGAGATTCACAGTTTTATTCTCCTCCTTCCCCTGGACAAAGTCACTACTTCAAAAAAAACAAAAAAGCAATAGTACTTCTTTCTTCACCGCATAATAAAAAGGGGCTCTTTTGCCTTAATAGAATAAGCAAGGATTAGAAATCATAGTAACATTTATACTGGAAGAATTCCAAAGCATTAAACTATAATTTCTTATTTAAATTTTACTTTTTTGTAAAGGGAAACAGAAGTATTTTTATCAATTTTCTTTCCTCCAAACAAGTCTGCAGTCCCAACCCCTTTAACACATAGAGAAAGAAAATGCAATAGGGTGCAATCAGTGGATATGGACAAACTTGGAAAAAAGAGAAAGGTGACAGCAGAGGTGCTAATTAGTAAGGAAGACATGACACATACTGTATGATGTTCTGTACAGTTCATTAATTACTCCTTAAAATTACAGCCCTTTAAAAGCCAAATGACTTGCATCTTATTTTTTTTTACTGCACATACAAAATAGAGTTCTTACTGCTGGATTTCCCCATGTTATTTTTCTTAAATACATATATATTAGTGTAGAGGTGTAGATTTAGAACAATTATATTTACTACAAATCTGTATTTAAAAGTTAATTCCATGAAGTCACAGACAACACAAAAGCAAGCTTCTTTAGAACAAATGTCATACAAAATTTGATTTTGAAATCTCTATTTCTCTTTCAGGGATGCTTTTATGCAGTTATTGTTAGGGTAGTGACTTCAAGGCCTGAATGCATGTGATATCTAATACAGAACTCTGAAATACTCATTTTTACACTAAAACCATTAAGGAGAACTTCAGTTAAGTTAAATAATTTCAGTTTTGTATTTTTTCTTTGATCCATTCAATTTCCCAATAAAGTTAAGAAATATTAGTCTAATGTATTTCAAATGCTAAAAATATGCTGACTGTGGCAGTATACAGAGGTTTCGTTCAGCACAGAGAATTTATTAAGTGAGCCTGTATTCTTGGCTAACAAACTAACCACTACTCATCTAATAGTTCTTGTGAAAATCTACTGCATGATACTTCTGAATAGTGTGTACTAACATTGTGATATTTCTACTGCCTTATATTAAAATACAAAAAAATATTTGAGTGATAAGAATAATGAGGTATTTTCCTCCAGAGTAATTTGTTTTACCTATTGCAGTTTCATTAAAACATTCTTACATCAAAAGAAAAAAAATAACCTATGTGAATACATACCCATATCACTTCCCATTATATGCTCATTTTGAGTTTGCTGAAATCCAGGAATAGGCCGTGTTGTCAGATACCATACTGCATGAAGAACATCTGTGGCATGTATACGATTGTGATCTGAAAATTATCAAAGTATAATCAAAAATATTATCTGAAATATAATCAAAAGGAATAAAAAGAAAAAAAATGAAATATAATGTACCAAATTTACTATAAGGGACATTTTGATTAAATATAAAGGAAAAATGGAATTTCATTTGTTAGTAGAGGATATATCACTGAACATTTTTAAGAAACAAGTTAGATAAACATCAAACATCCTCCAGGCGTACTTAATCCTACCTGAGAGTCAGGAAGGGATTAAGTAGCCTTTTAAATCAGTGATGGTGAGCCACTAGCATTACTTCCAATTTGATACATACAAGCATTTGAGTTGGTGCAAACATCTGTGACATGTGGGGTGGGGGATGTGGGGCATGTTTTTTGTTTTGTTTTACTTTCCAGTAAATTTGGCTTCCCTAAATAGCAAGATGAATCATTACTGTCAAAATTCCGTATTTTGTTATTATTCTATTACAGGCCCAAGCCAAATTTCTGTTAAATCAACAAATATTCTTCCATTGGCTTCAGTAGGTTTGACTCAGCTACTCATTCAAATTCTTTAAGATTATATTCAAGCTAGACATTCCATTTTGCAGTCCATTTTTTTTGCTGCAATTCATTAAATCAGTTCTAAATTCTGACAAATGTATTAATTAAAAATATACAAAGTTCAGACATTGTCTACCTCTGTATTAAACATTAAACCAATACACAAACTAAAGGAGATACACTAATATAAAGGAAAAACACATGTAATTGTATAGTACTTACAAGGAATATCTCGGTAGCCATCTTCTAGTGCACGGAAGTAATTCATGAATTCTTGAGTTGGGATTTTGAAAATTTCAAACAAACCAGTGTCTTGAAACAAGGTATAAGTTACCTAAATACATATTAAAATTAATTTTAGTCTGAAAAATATACCTAAGCATATTCTGCTTTTTCAACTTTAAAAATATTCCTGTTTCTGAAATTTTGCTTGCTGACAGAGATGGAAATTACTGAAAAGAGTATCTGAAAGCTACTGTCATAGAAATAGGTTTAATGATTTCTTTTTAGCACAAAACTGTGATTTTTATCATCCTTTCAAATACAGAATAATAAAACCTTTTATTTCTTTACTGATAAATTCTATGCACAACTAATTATTTTCAATAAAATTCTCCAAAATTTTCATAATGTTAAAGAACTCACACTTTTATTCCATCAGTGGCCTACAACCAAGAAATCTGTTTTCTTACTTATTATTCAAAAATTTAAATTACTTAACTATAGTAGTAGAGCCATTAATATAAAAACCCCAACACACTATTTATTAAGACTTTGGCAAAGAAATCCTATTTGTTTTTCATTCATTATGACTTATCTTGGGTATATTTTTAACAAAGGTAGCTGGTAAATGAAAAAATAACTCAAAAATGTACTCAGAACACCCACACATGTATATACTGTGCAAATATATTGTGGTTTACAAGTAGAACTTTGTGGCTACAAAGACCTAACCTCCTTAAGAGTGCAAATATTAAGAAAGCTTTCCAGAACAAGCCACCGCTACTCATTTTTGTCACTTCTTTCCCAGACACTTGAGAGAAAGAATATGTTCTGAAGTGTGGGAGGTTCTCAAAGGAACATGTGAGCAAAATGAGGGGACACCTCTCCTTCCACCTGTCACAACCATTCCTCTTACACATACCCAATCTGAGAACCTTACAATCAATAACAGTAAAATATAGTTTTTAATTGTCTCTTATGTAAAATATGTATCAGATGCTTACAGCACAACAGACAAAAGGACTGGGGCAGGAGGAGGAGTAGGACAAGTAGTATACATACACACGATATCAGGAACAACTGATACAGAAATTCTGCTAGTTTAGCAGAAACCTGCACACTTCAGTACTTACAGGTTTGAACTATCCCCTAGACTGCACACCAATGAAATGCAAGCTAATGTGGATCACAGAGTACTGGTATACTACAGTAAAGACACCACTCTAAAGTGGATTGTGGCATTCTAGTCTCTACATTAACAGTTGTCACTAACTGAGGTGACAAGAGACCTGAAAACGTTTGATCAAACAAGACTAACTGAAGATTTAAAAACAATACCCAGAATACTGTGTATTATGAAAGAAAAGACACTGTCTAATAACAAAAATTAGATTATCCCCATTGTTTTTTCCTCTCTTCAGTACACGTGCAGGCCTATGGTTCCAACTGCACCCGAGTGCTTCTAACCTGTTCCCTTCCCTCCAGCTGCTTGTTCCTAACACTACACCCTTGCAGAAGTGTAATATGCAGTCTACTCTTAGGTAGGAAACTAAGACACTGGCAATAAAAATATTAGTGGTCAGATCAGAAGCAAATCCAGCTCATACTATAGCTCCATGATTTCTAAATCCAGCATAAAGAAAGAGACAGAAGCTTTCAGATGACACTGATGAATGGGAGAGGACGAGGAAGAGCAAGCAGGATCATACTTTTGCACCTGCCAGTAGATTGCTTCAGCACAACACAAAACTGCATGAAAGAGCTTAGTAATAAGTCAGAAAGACATAAAAGGGATACTACATGCAGAAAGCAGCATGGAAAAAAAATCCCATTGTTTGTAGGATCAAGAGGCAAAAGACTGCCTAAAAGATCACTTCTCTTCCCCCACAGGTGTAGCTCTGGCAGAAATATTTTACTGAAATAAAGAAAAAAGAAATGGTTGACAAACAAGGTAGTAATTCTGAAAGCAGGAGACAATTTTTCATAGGAAATGGCATATTACTACAAAACCTAGCAAGTGTGAATCTAACCTATTTTTACATGGAGAATAAAATTCAGAAAATTTGGAGCAAGTTGTCTATAGATAAATCGCTTTGTATGGTTTACAATGAGATGGAGTACATGAGAAATTATATTTCCGCTTTTCAAGTTAGCATTCATATATTTGTTGACTGCAAAACTTCTTCACAGTTTAAATAAAATATGTAAGCACGACAGCTTTATGCACCTTCCTTATTATAATAAAAGACAATAAACCTGGCTAAGGATCCTTCCAGACTGGTCTCGCATTTCTTGTACAAGGTCAAAAATTTGGAAATTCCAATTGTTCATCTTCTCCATTAGTGAATCATGGTCTAATGACATTTTTTCTAATGTAGGACTCTGCTCCACCTGTATGAGAGTAAGATATTTTATCATCTCTAAAATAAAAATGAAAACTAATTTTCCAGTTTTATTGGCAAAAAAGCCATGAAAATCATAAATCATTCAAGTGATTGAATGGCACTGTAACTATGGCTATGAGAAAATCATAAATCAGCAGTACAAATAGCACAGTTCAGGGCTTGACTTTTCATATTTTGGGATTCCAGGGCTTTCTGAGATGGTGTTAAATTTTCATTCTTACTTCTTTTTAAACAAGATGAGTTAATAAAACAAAGCAAAAATATGCATAGGCTAACAAAATATTTACTGGGCTTTGACAGTTCATTAATTGAACAAGCTTTAAAAAAAATTTATGTATAAACCCAAAATGTTAGTGAATCCTAAACCATTTGTGTCCCTGCACTTCCAAAATACTGCACTTTAGGAACATTCATTTGTAAGTCTCACTGAGACTGCCACATCTTTCATGAACTTCCACGCGAAAATACTAGTCAATCAGTTTGAGAATACTATCAACATTAAATCTACACAAACTAATTTTGATCAACAAAAAGTTAATACAAATCACAATTTTGTCATTTGCTAGTGAAATTTATGCAAGCTGGAAATACACAATTGTTTAATGACAATTTGAATTCAAACGATGCACCATTTACCTTCAGAAATTATAACTCGTAGCAATGCAAAGACCTCTTTACAGCATGTTAGAAATTATAAAGAAATACCATATTGGTAAAAGTTATTGCAAGGTTTTTTGCAATTGCATGCTTACAAGCAGATTATTCTGTGTTTGATCAGTCACTTCCTTCCTTTCCTCTATTTTCTTCTCTGTATGGTGGAAAGATTCTTTTGAAACACTAGCACTTCCAATTTCACCTTAAAGAAAATACATACATAAATACTGTATCAATAATTTATCTGTAACTTACTGCTGTCTAATAATTATTGAACTGATCATTAAGACACTTCACAGAAATATAAGTAATAGCTTGGTTCTAAACCATTTTTATTTAATAATTTAAAAACAACAAAAATTGTAAAGGACAACATTTATGAGACAAAACCTATCTGAAAATTGAGAAAAGCTTGAAGCATAGCTTTTTACTTGCAAAAACTCGTTCAGTGTTTAGTTTAGCCAAGATGGCAGAGAACTTGTTATGTGGAGTACAGAATTCTAAATCTGTGAGTGGAAGCGTATTATAAAATCCTTAGTGGAAAGCAGGAATATTTTAAACTGAATATCCTAAAGCACAAACTAAATTAAAGTAAATGCATATGAGTTACTTAAAGTATAGAAAAAAATCTCATGTAGAAATTTAAAAATGTTAATTTAATTGGCTTTAAAAAATCCCCAAGAAGTCGATATCAAGTATTTGTCTATTTTTAAATCCCACCTGATTTTCTGTCTTTATATTCTGCAAATTCTGGTTCTGGTGCTGGAACAGGCTTGAGTATCTGACGTCCACAGCTTACAGAATACATGAAAAATATTTACAACATTCAGTAACTTTCTTCTTTTGCTACTGCTGTGTTGTATTGAAAAATATCCGCAAATTACTTTTCTTAAAAAGGCATGCTTTTGAAGGTTGCCAAGTGACCTTGGTATTTTCTCTTAAATTTGGCACATACAGATTTAGTTTGTACTTAGAAAATAATCAACCTCCACCTTCCCAGGACTCACCTCCATGAATTAATAAAGTAGGGCTAATTATTTAGATAGTATTCAGAAATACAAAACTAAATTCCCAGGTAGTAACTCCTCCTTTTCTAAAAATCTGTAAAATATTGTTACTCTGCAATAACTGCTGCTTTCAAGGATAAGCCATTTCAAATCAATAGCATACATACAAGCTTTCTTTAGTGTCCCCTGGGTAACATAGTTACAGATTACTATAAAATGATATGCCTTTTTTTCAGTACTAGTGGATGTATAGGTCTTGTCATATTTTTTCATTTTAATAGTATTCTTTTCAGCACATATGAAGTTACTGAAAATGTAACAGAGTTTACAGTACCTGCTACACATATAACCTACAGGTGTTTTGACTTGCTGCTGAAAATCTGGAGAACTAATTGTGTATCCCAGAGGCTTATGTATATTAATACTTGGTTTTGTAAGAAAATCAGCAGTATCAGGAAATTCTACAGGTGACCAGCTGCTGAAAGCCCCACTGGAGACAGATGTATGACTAGGTGAACCCACAGGACTCAGGCCAGGAGAAGCACCTTCCAAAACAAACATGACATGGGGTTCAGATTACAATAAAAACATTACTGTTTAGAAAGTCTGAAATTAAACAACAAGAACCTTTATAAATTGTAAAGAATGTGCAACTTTTCAAAACATGGTGTATAGTTCACACTGTTAAACACATATAAAGTAGCTAGATCATTCCAAGTTTTGAGATCTATAACTATGCAGCAAAATGTAACTGAAGCAAAGGATTACAGCGAACAGATACTGGCCTTTTTTGACAGGCAAGTACCTTTTTTTCTTGGCATGATAATCCATACAAATCTGCCTAATAAGCCATTGGGGGGAAAAAAAAAAATCTGAATTTTCCTTGTGGGTGATTAGAGATAAAAACAACCAACCAACCAACAACAAACTACTCCATCTTTCTTAAATCCATGAAATTCCCCGTTCCTGTTCAAACAGTAAGCTAGGGTTTACTTCAGGCCTCCATCTCCAAAATCTAGGAAAGCAAGCTGGTAAATCTCCACTTTGGCTACTCTATGTGCCTAACATTCATTTACAACAAAATTTTTCATTAAGCCAAAACATCATTTCATTCCTTTGTGAAAATATACGAAAAACAGGTTATCTATGAGTGCCCAAGGTAAGTTATACCCATTGTAAACATACTTTTATCAAAAAGAATAAAGTGCCCATGAGGAAAATAATGAAGTGTTCTGTGGACTTTTCCAAAGCCGAATCACTTATTCTGCTGCAAACTATGAAACAAAAACTCCATCAGAAGTTTTATGACTGTACAGTGCCTGACAACAAATTACTAAGAGAATATAGAGTATTGCCCTTAAATAAGAATTCATAGATTATACATTTCCAGCAGTGTCATAGGCTACATTGACTTGACTCACGCACCCTAAGAGTAATATGTAATTACATTTTGTTGCAATAAAAGATGAGATTTTTCAAAGTCCACATTGTTAGGTGCAGAGACAGAAATTTTAGAAAGCAAATGTCACTTCACTGCTGTAAAGAAAGATTTGGAAAGTCAAGAAGCAATTTGTAAACTTCCTTCCAGAACGAAAAGAAATTAATACTCTAATGCTGGTTACTTAATTTCATCCTTTTTACGTGTACACATTCAGCAGGTTTTAATGCATATCATTACTGTCTGTATTTTCCACAAGATTCAAAGTAGAACAGTGCAGAAGGCAGCCCAGTTTTTTATGAAGACAGAACCACTGAGAATGTGCAACAATGTGTTTACATACACATCTGGCCTGAGTTTGCATGTTTCTTGGTGTTTCAAAGAGTGAAAGTGAAATGAGCAAACCATCAGTAAGTAACACAGAGAAAACTACGGAGTTTTTGGTTAGTGCTTTTTTTTTTTAAAATAGAGTGAATTCATGTCTCTCAATCCAACCTGAATATTTAAACTTCTACAAAACAAAATTTGACGACAGGTAGTTATTTTTAAATCATGCTAAAATAGATAGGCAGAAATGTCAAAAGAAGTCGTTTTTAAAGTTTCACTTAATATAGGCAAACAGACCATAATAATCTCTGAAATACTGATATACACATTATTTCAGCACTGCCGTTACAGTATCTACTGGCTTATGACACTGATAGTGTTAGAATAAAATCTATTCCAACTCCTAAAATTTGTTTAAATATTAATCTCAGATGGCTATTAGGTATTTAGGAGTGTCTAAGTGACACTGTTCCATTACAAAAAGCATAATTACTAAAAAATTGTCCCTTATTAACGTATGTGAATGTTGAAGTTTTCAACAGGTACCAGCCATACTGAACATCATAAGATTTTGCAGCTGCATAGTATTAGTTGAATAGTTGAGATTTCTACAAAGTTGATGTTAACTGTAATTTCTAGTATTCTTAGAACCAGATTAAAAATAAATATTTTTTAAATATATGCAACATGCTGATGTTATTTTAGCACTACATTTACCTGAAAAAAACCCAATTGTAATACATGATGTACTAACTACTACCTTGACCGCCTGCCACTAAGCTATACAAATTGCACAATCTTACCTGCTCGTCTGGGACCTATATGATGAGTCAATGTCATAGATGATGATCTTTGTTTTGGTATTGTCAGCAAATTTGCACCAAAAGACCCATTTGAATGAGATCCTTGGCTGAAAACAAAACAGCAAGAATTTTTTTTCTTTCCCATCTTTTTTTTCCATTTTTATTAAATAAAATGCTTATTAAATAGCTAGACTGCTCTGTTACAGGTCCACTACCATTCAAGACAGAAAGTACTACAAATAAGTCAAATTCAAGACCAGCTAGAAAATGTATTTCAATTGTATGGAATAAAAAATGCTGGGTACTGGATGAAAGCAACAGAAAACTTTTATGCAGTCCTAAAATGACACACTAAATACATTCAGATCTCGTGCCACAGGTTTTACTTTTGAACATGGTATTTACTTTTCTTGAATGTTTTAACAAATCAAGTTATTTTCTACCAGATTTGAGAACACTTAAAAGATTGCTTACTTTGGAAATACCATGACAATCTTATGCAGCCGTGGCTTACTTTTCAAATCAATATTGCATATTTAATTAATCGTTTTACTAATCTTAAAACTAAAGCTGTTTTTGAAGTCATATTGTACTTCAGCAGCTGCATTGTTAAATTCGATTGTTGAATTACGCCATCTGCTGTTCTCGTCATGAAATTGCACTCCAAAATTCCAATCAGATATGCAATTAAAAATCAAAGTGTACATGTAAATTATAGTAAAAATAGTTTATATAAAACTAATTCTTTCATTTATCATGGGAAAAAGGTATTTACCAAAACAGATTTAATCTTGTTTAATCAGATTTATAACCACAGTCAAACACAGAAATAGTACTTGATCTCCCATCATTTGTTTAAACATATAAAAATAAAAAAAACTTAAAGAATAAACACAGATTTATTCTTCTGACGTCTGATGCTGACATGTTAGTCAACTTTAAAAAATGTTTGAGCTGACAACTGGGATAGATTGAACTTTTCACTGTTTGTACATTGTTTAGCTATTGTAGCTTAAATGTATTCTTTTAAAGCACATAAAAACACATTAAGCAAGGTCAGTTCAGCTGGAACTAGTGTTTGAATGAGAAACCAAATTAAAAGTTTGCATGCAAATAAAACGGCACCTCCTCAGAGTTGCTTTTGAACACTATCTGGATGGATAAAAAAAATTCTGGAACGTAGAGTCAAATTTTGTAGCAATATTGATTTATTGTACTGCTACGTAATATCTTCTCTTTCTGAACTCAGCTAGAATTCAGTTGAAAGCAGTCATTGTATGTAAAAAAATTCCTTGGTTTTTGACAAGCTTTCCTCCTAGTGAGCAGTTTGCTGTTTCACTCCCTCTTTTTACTATTAGCCTGATCCTCCTTGCTTCTCCTCCAACATTCCTTGAGTCCTTCATTGGGTTGAATCAGCTCCCCAAGGCAGGAAAAACTGTCTTTTTATTGCTGTTACTCTTCTGACAATTTAAGGGGCTGACTCAACAGCTAGAGCCAAAGGCACAAAGTGCTCTAGGAATGCAGGACTGCCTCTATTGGCAGCAGGAACAGCTATGCCAGTTCAGCTATTTCATCTAACTTTATCCATAAGGCAAGCACCCATGAGCGGATTCAGAGATGATTATGTGTTAGAAGTTAAAGGCAAGTTGATAAGAATGATCACTGGAAGATGTAAGGAGACACGGACTGTGCAAGTGTTGGCAAGAATTCTGAAGGGCAGGACACAAACCACCAAAAAGCAAACACATATTCTTGGGCTGTATGGGGTGGACGGCAGCAGGGCAGGGGAACATGCCTAACTCAAAGTGCTAGTCATCAGGCTCAAGGGATCATTTAAAAGTGATGGAGTACAAGCGAGGGTGTTTTCTGTATTGCAACTTTTAATCGGGTGAGCTCGAGTAGGGTCTTTGGTCGGTAGGAGCTGTAAGGAAACCCTCTGTAAAAGTACATTGTCTTTGAACCAGAAATGTTGAGCCTCAAAATGAAGTCCCACAGTTTCTAAATGTAAAGCGATTTCTCTGGTCTCTGCTTATTTCCAGTGGATACAGCTGAGGAGATTCTTTCAAACACCGACAACCAAATCAGCATGAAAATACAATCTTTCAACTACTACTACTACTAGTATCTTCAATTATATATTATACACAAACCAAAATTAAGTTTGACTATGTAAAAACTTCAAGAGTATATTTTATTCAAGGTGAAAAAGCCACTGACAAGGGCCAAATTATTTAAATGGTTCGCTTTAAAATCAAATATAATATTGATGAATTATTGGATGTGTGTATATAGTTTCACCCACTACTACTAATTATCAGTTATTAGCATATATCTCATTTTCTTTTTAAAAATGCATCTATTATACTTTCCTTATGACCTGTGTAAAACCATTACAGTATTAAGAGATATCAAGTATTAAAAGAGAAAAAAAAAAGCAAAACCACACATATTTTTACAGATTCAACTTGCAACACAATTTCAAATATCTGTTGTACTTTTCTCACAAGATACTGAGCAAAGCCATATACATTTACACATCTAAGAAAAAAAAAGTACACTATCTTAATCCTAAATCAAAATGTTATCATAATTCTGGAAATAAAAACTTTGCTTGCAACATGTTGTCTAACAAGTAGAGAAGAAATTACTTTCTTAGTCTACCTTACTGCTTGCTTGATGACCATAGGAATAATAAATGTTACAACACATACAACAGTGGCTACTAAATGCAGTAAAGCTACGTAATCTTTTTAATTAGAAAACAAATTTTTGGGTATGTGGAAGTTGGAAAGTAATACATATTTTAAGTATAAAAGACAAGACGGAAGTCAGTAAAGGTTTAAAGGCTAAACTAGTTTGTTTTGCAATCGTGTATGTTGGACTTTTTTTTCATTTCCTCCTAAAACTGATATGTAGGCCTACCTGTTATGACAGAGCACGCCATTCAACCTCAGAATGACCTGACTTCTTGTCGAGATCAGAGTTACAAAGTATAGTATATAATTAACTTGAAACATTTTCCAGTTTATGCTGGCAGAATTTGGAGACTTAATTCACAAGATTTTACAATAAATACTTCTGCTGCCAAGTTCCAACATTACAGACATTAACATTTTAGAAAGTCTACATTTATAATTGCCCTGCAAATGTGGTTAAGTGCTTACCTTGATGTGTTATATTCCTGATGAGATCTCTTGCTGTTACTCCGTTCCCACCTAGAAGATGTTGATTCTATAGGTGGAATGCCAGAAACTCCTGAAGTTCGTCTCAGCTGTGGTGTTGGCAGGCTACTCCTGCTATTTATCCCCTGTTGAGTAATTTAATCATAGTTAAAATCTATATAATAAAAAACAGACAATAAAATTTTATTTGTTTGTGAAGACTATTTATTGTTAATTTTTTATAGTGAAACAGTAAGTATGGTATCTTATATTCACTCTTATTGCTCAACAAAATGAAAAAAGATGCAATCAAATTATTTTTCTTGCTAGGAACAGTTATTTTTCGTATCTATTTTTTTCTTCCCCCAAATTAAAATATGTGAATATATTTGTACTCTGAAAGCCATGTGGTCCAAGAATTATTCTTCAGAGCTTTTAAAAACTGAGATCTTCTAGAGATAGTAGTTGCTGTAAGATTACAGATCCTTTTTCTACCCATCCCGATCGACCACAGCCAGCTCTCCAGCTCTGAGGATAGCCTGAGATTTCGATAAATCACATGCTAAATATTGACAGTGCAAGTATTGTGGAACTTGTGGAAAGGGTGATGCACAATGCACAGGGTCAGTTCTGGTCCATCAATGCTCCCTCTCTGTTTCCACACCAGCCCCAACAGCACCCGGGAAGCTTCCCAGGCACCTCGCCACTCCCAGCCTGGAAGCTGTGTTAGTTTAGGCACATTGCAGCCCAAACACTGGGAACCGCTGCAGTACTGAACAAAATCCTCTGCAAAGCAGGGCAACAGCATTCAGTCCTGTATGGAAGTAACACAGGACTTCTTAGCTCTGCTTTACTGAAATGCCCCCAGAAAAATGTATCTGTGTTCAAACAGGAACTAGTGGAACTTAGCTAATAGAAAGGATAGGATCACTGAACTGAAACTGCAAAGCCAGCTCTGGCATACCTGCATCCACTGCACAGACAACCTATACATTGCATTTTGAACAATTTTTATTTAAAAAAAGTGTTCCTCACTGCATTCAATCCACAATCTGCTTGTTAACTCATCCCTAGATTTGGCCATTCAGTGAAGGGGGGGAAGGGGGGGAAGATCCTTCTGCATAATATTGATGTGTGTAATCAGACCTTGCAAAGTAAAACAGATACCAGAAAAAAAAAATGTTTGAAACAAAAAATCCAAAGCAGTATTTGCAGTATTGAGTAAGTTCTGCAGGGTCACGTGTGAGGACAGAAGACCCTTGGATCACTTCAAAAGTCTGGCAGAAATAATGACTTGGCAATTTTAAGTTTCATCAGGTGGTCAAAGATCATACTTAACCCACAAAGCTATTACATATTTCAAAAAATGAAACAGTGTTGACACAAAAGAGTACAGTCTCTTACCCTGAAAAATCAGACTGCTTTGAATCCTTGATACGGGATGTACCTTGACTCTGTTTGCTTTGCTGCAAAGCTGCAGTTACAGCCAGAAAGGTGGAATTGGACAGGCAGAGTAAGACCACCGTATCACCCACAGAAACATACAGTAGTCCTTAACCAGCCCTACCAGAAAGAGAAAGGGAGCAGCATATTCTGTGTGCTGTCGCACAGTGGTAACACTCTTAGGCTAGGGTGGACTCCCCTATCAGCGGACCACATCAACCTAATCTGAGTGCTGTCTACAACATGGAGAGCACAGCTGCAAATCCCCAACGCTGGAAGAGGAAGGTTCACTTCCCAAAACAAGTTCGTATGTTAGTAGAATACAGAAAGAAGGCCCTCAGCACCTGCACTTTTTCTTTTTCCTGGCTAAGAAAGGGAAGGAGAACAAGGAGTTCCCCTCTAAGAACAAGTGAACACTGGGGATATGACATATCTCCAGAACTTTCCCCTGCTGATAAAGAAGCAAAGAATAAACAAACCATGGGTAGCAAAGGACTCAGGAACTTCACATCACTCTATGCTAGCGAAGTCACTGGTAAACACTATACAAAGAGGAAAAGTTGTTCTGGGAGTAAAGTTTAGACCATGCCAGAAATCAAAGTTATTATGAAAAACTTTCAGTTATCAGCAATAACAAGGCCAGAAGACAAGGGATGTGGATACTCAAGAGCTTGCCTAGACAACTTTTACTTGCCTAAAGTGTGAAAACTGTTAAAATCATGATTGTTGGTAACTCCAGAAATCCATCAATCTACCAAGCAGCATACTGTCATTACAAGCTAGGAAATCCAGGGACAGCTCTGTCATGATGGAAGTGAAAGTCTTTTGATGGCAGACCAGCCCTGAGATGTTATTTGTCTAACAAAGATTTCCTTTTTCTTTTTTTCGGAATGTAAAGAGATTGATCAGTAAACAGCACCAGCTGGGCAGTTTATGCTTTCCAAGTTGTCAACTCCCAAGAAACTCAGAGTGAAGAGTTAGTATTAGATAACCAGTTATTGCTAACCCAAGGTCTCAAGCCTGGTTTCTTTCTTTTTCTTGTGTTTTCTTATTTTTTTCCTACCAAAAGGAACAGGCAGTTCCCCAACAAAAGTGAAAAAAATTTAACTGGATGCACTTTGGAAGCCAGTCAGGGAAGTGAAATAAAGATGTACATAACCCTCAGCAAAGAAACAACTTATTTAAAATATGGAGAAGACATTTCATATTCCAAGTCAGGTAAAGAGAGAATAGAAACCATTCAATATAGTCTGAAAAGTCCCATTTTGAAGAAATATTTTCTTCTGATTTTCTTTGGTGTGTCATCATCTGAAGTTTGTGCTGACTTACCTGGTTTTTGAAAGAGAAATCTTTTTCTTTCTTACAGTAACATACATATGGGTAGATCTTTTGGCTTACTCCTAAACATATACTAAAGTCAAACATTCATGATAGTGACAAGCACTATTTTATCTATCAGGTAAATAAATATACAGAAAACCCCCCAAACTTAAAGAAAGAGTAACAAATTTTACATTTAGGAAGGAGGAAAAGAGAATAGCTGTGAAAAAAACATAATCTTTCAATTTCATATGATTTATAACCAGTCTTCGACAATAAATATTTTTCATTTCAAACAATTCTGACTAGCTATACAGAAATTTTAAAAATCCAAAGTTGTATTTGCACACTCACATAAATTCTATTTTTCACATTGGTGTACCGATCCTTAGTAGTTTTCAAAAAAATCCACAAAAAACTCCATACGCTGAATGGTTATGATCCCTACCCAACTGACTTCTGCAGATATCCATGTGATATTCCAATGGCTTTCATACTGCAACAATCCTGCATGCTCTTCCACAGAGCAATCTGTAGAAACTGAGCTTTTCCCCAAAAGCATTTGTTTTGACAATGGTTCTTACAGACATTTCACAGGCTGAATCTGGCTCCAGGGATTTTATCTGGCTCCAAAATACTAAGCCAACAAATTGATCAATTTGGGCCAAGCTGCCCACTGCCTGGAAATGAAAGCAACTACAAGGCAGGGACGTCCCAGACCAGCCTGGACAATAAACAGCCTCAAGCTGTCAGTACTGGGCTACTCTAGAATTCTCAGTTCTGGTGCACTTCAGCTGAGTTTCTATATTTGAATGTTTATCCACCATGTTCCTTAACATGTTATATAGTAACTACACTCTTGCTTTCACTTATTTATCCTAGATAATGGAGAAGTGACAGTAGACTTAAACACTGGTCACATAACTTGATGTGCTGCACAGAAAAAGCTATTGTTCATTTTACACAGGTGATTTGCTTCTGTCTAATGGTTAGTTTGATGTGCACAAGAGTAAATGTCTTTGGAGAAAAAGTCAGTGAAAAAACCACATTAATTGTTAGATCAAGAATGTGGGAGAACTGAGAAAGAACAACTCTGTCTGTGCCATATCATGAGAATATAACATCTTCATTTTATATTTCCTTTTAGTTTTTTAATCCTGTCTTTATTTCAAGGAAACACGTTCAGAGTGCAGACCAGTGCTTTTACCTGTCTATCCATCAACCACTTGAATTTGTATTTTAGGACCTATCTACATGCATTCATCTACCTTCATTTAATGTGTTTTTACAGCTGCTCACTTTTGACCTTAAATGTAGTTCACAGGTACTAAAGTAAAGAAGCTATTACCCATACAGGAGCATTCCTTCCAGATGAATTGTCCTTGATATATATTTTTTTAATTACAACACACACACGAATGAAACTTAAATTCATTTGACCTTGAGGGTGTGAATGGACTAGCCTTTGGCCTGCACGTGCCTGAGAAAGCACCAATCAAACCATTAATGCTTCGAAGAGAAGAAATCGCTTGTGGTGGAAGGGATGGGTCAGTCAGGAGGTCTGTTAGCATGCTCTGAGCCTCATTTAGTACTGAAAGATCAACTCCATTTCCACTGCCAGCATTCTAGAATAGATGGAAATATTGCAAACTATTAACACGTCAAAACATGTCACAGTATTCTAAGTTTTAAATAAGCATCTTATCCATTGCAAATTTTAAAAATAAGAAAACCTCAATGCAATGTATTTTTCTTTTAAAGACAATAATGCATATAGACATATTCAGACACCATTTTTTGTGGGTTTTTCTTCACACAATAAAAAAATATTTCAGAATTCAACATTAGCTTTCAGTTTATTTTTCTCTATTTAAAATAAAGATCCGGTGCCGATTTTTTTCTCTCAATTTTTCATTACTTTGTCTCAGAATTAACTTCATCTTCTATCTCCTCCAATAATATCAACAGAAATTTTGGTGGCCAAACTGTTATAATCACCTTACAGAGGTGCAATTTCCACAGCCTAATTCATTACTTTTACTAACCCTGATTCTACTGAAACAAACCCTAACAATTCTGTCAAAAAAGTGGTTAGTTTTTATTTGTCATAATTCTCTGAACAGGAACAGCAATAGCTTATTAGATGCCACCACTGATACAAGAGAGAAGGGGAGAAATAAGCAATCAAGCAAAAAGGTGAGTACCTGGTAGAGCTGAGTTTGGTGACATTTCTGGGGAATCACTCCCTAACCTTACGCTAATGGATATTTAAAAAAAAAAAACCCACTCCCATCTTAGTCAGGTTTGAGACTGTTCACATATACACCACAGAAAGCAGATCTCTGTCAACTTGGTCAGAACTGCTAAATATCAAGTCTGTGCTACATAGAGCTACAATCTACTAGGACAGCTTAGGTAAATAAAACATCCACAGAAAAATTGAAATCTGACAGTTTACAGTGAATTTTGTACTCAATCACATCTCCCAAAAGAATAACTAGATTCATAATAGACTGACCTGGTAATAGGGCTTGTACCATTGCTTCAAATCCCAATCCCAAAGTATCATCTGTAAAGAAAAAAAAAAGAAAAAAAAAAGAGTAATAGATGATATGTTGATGCTGAAAAACAATGGAATAAATTGTGACTATAAGTAATGTAACATAAAATGCTTCTCCCTTCATGTTTTTGTATGTAACTTAGGCCATTTTCTCAGCTAATGCTACCCCCATAAAAATCCTAAAGAAGAGTTTGAAGAAATTGCATGCAACAGAGATATCTTGATGACAGAATAAATTATATGGCCTTATTTCAATACTTCTGGATTGTTTATAAATCATTTAACATGTACAATAATTAGGTGGTGACAGCGCTTTCTTGCTTCTATTCACCTCAACTTACAAATGCAAATCTCCTCTAAAACCTCCAATATATTTTATAATTTTTTCCTTCCAGAACCATTCAAGCAGTAGCAATTTTGTAAATACAGTGCAAAAAGCACTACATTAACATCATTTATTTTTAAAAAAGGCAAAAAGCTCCCTGATATCTCAGGTTAAAAATCCTTTTCTTGCAGGAGGTTTTGTTAGGTGTTGCTTGAATATGGTTACAAATCTGCATGTTCTGAATAACTTCATAAAACCCACCAAACCCACAAAAGAACGTCAGCAACATAATCTGAAGATACTATTAACTTCAAGTACGTCAACAGCACTCACTTAATTTTTCTTCTGTACTGACAAAAAATAAAAACAACATACAAGAAATGAAATTCAGATGTCTGTTTTGTTTCAAAAGCGTTCAGGCTCTGTGACTTCTTATGGGTTCTAATTATTCTCTGGTAAATGAATTCATTTGCACAACACACATTCACAAAATAAACATATGCAGAGATAACCCTTTTTTTCCCCACTTTTCCTTAGCTACAGAGCACAAAGTGCTAGCACCCCACTTTGTAGTTCATATTCTGCAGTCCTGTAAGTTTTTCTGCCTATTTTTATAGGTGAAAACTGTGTTTGCTTTTGTTCCTCTAAGACTAGCAGCTCTTTCATGGACAAAGCACTATGTTCCAGGCTGGCACATGTCCAGCAGAAGGTGCAGAAAGTGTCAATAAAGAAACACAGGCTGACCTGTCAGCCGTACCTAGGCAAGGGTGGCACTTAAAAGCTCTTTTTTTTCTTCTGTTATCTCCCTAGAGATACCATTAAACTACATTTAAATTTAATAGTTATGACATCTACTTGCTATGAAAAGTGAAGAGATCTATCATCAAGCATGTGCTTAAAGTGGGAGTAAGTTATGGAATAGCAGAAAATCATACTGTGTAAACAAGCATATCTAAATCAAGAATTAAGAACTTCAGAATTTGAGATTTATGGTTTTTTAAGTCATTAATCTAGCTACCATCACCATCTCCATGAATTTTTTTTTTTAAAACTAAGCATGTGAGATGACTGTTAGCCTGTCACTGACAAGCATTAAGATAATGACCAACATTATCTTACCACACCACCTATTTTGCATGATGCATTTGGTTTTAGCATGATAATTGTCAAGGTGAAGGGGTTTGTCTTCCATAACCAGAATGGAGTTGTCCATCTGGGCAGGCTGGGTTTTCTTGTTTTTCTTCATCCTCAGGTTTCTCTTTCCAGACTGACATTTATTCACTGTATCAAACGTAAGTAAATCTTATGGTCTCATTCTGCCCTCCTAAGCTTGGACACAGAGACTGCATCACCCTGCTTCACTGACTTTTGACTCAACCAGCAATGAAGATCAGATGTCTATGTGAGTTTTGTTAGTTGTATTAGCAACCTTTGATACTAACGGTACACAAAGTTGCGTCAGCTTGCTTGCAATCCTGCAACCCCCATTAGCAGAAACAAAAAAGTTTTCCCTTCCCCCAGCTCTTCTGGTATTTTATTTTTATTTTAAATATGTGGTATGTTAGCTGATTTTATTTCTTTGTTGTAAATGAGATCTTAAGAAAATGCCTATGCTCTTGCTAACTCCAGATTATTTCTGTACCAAACCTTTCACTGCAACTACTTTTATTAATGCAACCTCCTTTATTCATCCTTTAAGCCACTGGGAGCTTTTGTGCAGAGGTATGTGCACGCAGGCACGCTCACATAAGCTACACTGTTATAATTTCAGGGGTCAATCTATGCGAATCTTTTGGCTTTAACCCTACTATAGTAAAGAAATAGGCTCAAAGTTGCAAAGGCAGAAAACATACCGTGGAAAATGTTACTGCTGTGTCTTGTGTACCACACTCACCCAGTAGACACAAGGTAAAAGAATGTGCACAGCTCATGCAAAATCTACTTCCAATGCAAATAATGGTTTGATATTTTAAATGGCAGGGCACCATTTTATATGCAATCTTATTTAAATGAGAAGTTTCACAGCTTGGATTCATGACTGAAAATTTTCTGTTGCCATTTCAACCAGAAGATTTAAGCTTCTCCACTGACATTAATTTCACAGCAAAGAAACTAAACCAGTTTTGAAATAAACAGAATTTAAGTTCACCTGTACGTTACCAATGGATTTTTTTTTTTAATTCACTATACATCACCATTAATTACACATCATATCTCCTGAGAGGAAACAGGTGTAACACAGCTAACAGGCTACCACAGTCTATTTTAGCTATAAAATTTTCAGGGCTCATTCCATGTGCCACATATTGAAGTAATTAAAACAAGCAGATGAAAATTTTAGGCACAAAGTAGCAATCTCTTCTACTAAGCACAACAGAAAAAATGCAGATCACTATACAATGAATACTTTTCTGTGGGGAATACAACTTGGTACGTCTCTATACTGATCAAATCCTTACAGGTTAATAATGCAAGGGGGGTTATCACCTTTTCTTAGCTGCTTACAACGCACCACAAGATGGCACTCAAATCCAGAGAGCCTCCCCCACAAAAACCACTGCGTGAGAAATGAACAGAAACCAGCAGCGTATTCCTTAACAGACCTTCTGCAGAATTGAAATGGTTTGAGAGACAAAGGGGGTGACAGTTTTAAATGCTGACAGCTGATAAATTCTGCTTCTTTACAAAAACTTTTCTGTTTAAAGAAGAATTTACTCCTTACCATTCTACTCAGAAACTACCTGCAAGGAAACTACTTTGTTTCTCACTGCCTACCAGACTTAATTAGCCTAACTCCATGCCTTGCAAGATACATCTGGAGTGCTAAAAACGCAGCATTTCTGGCATTGTTTTTGTTGAGAGTTCGACAGTCAAAGCTTTAATTTATTACTGTGGATCATCAACAAAAGTTACAAAGTATTCCCCCTTACAACAGGAGTAAAAAGGATACAGTTTATTTTGACATAATGTGAACAGACCAACAGACCTTAAAATAGGTCTTAGGCAGATCCTCAGCAATTTTTGATTTTGCAACCAGAAGACTTGTTGCAGAAAGATCTGTACTCTGTAATACTAAGATTTTGTAATCCATTGCACATAACATTCTTCCTCACCTACTCCAACAAGAAACACCTGATCTAGGAGGGACTCGAGTCATAAGAGTTCCAAGCTACAACTTAAACCTTTGCTTAGCAACTCACACTTCGGCTTTTGAGCATCCATTGTCTGTGCCAACATCACAGCAATCACACACCTGGGAGCTCCTCTGAAAATGAAAGTGCAGTGGACTCTGATATTGCAGATGAACTTCTGAAAGGTGAGAAATGTATAGCTCTCCCCCTATAACCACGTATATCAAATTACCAGTTTGGAGAAGTTCTATCAGCATGACTCTAAATCCAGAGGCTCCCAGTCCATGCAAAGAGCAATGATCACACTTTCCCAGCTTTATAAAATTTTCTGTCAAGCTGATCAGGGTTTTGAAGGACAGTTTATAAAAAAAACAAAAACAAAAACCCATGCATAACACAATACTATGCCTTGTTCTTTAACAGTCAGGGACTGTATTATGTTTAACTATAATAATTGAATCTATTTAGCCTATGAAATAAATTTCAACACAGTTAAAAGAAGACAAGCCAGCTTACAAAAACTAAGGGTTTTTGTAAAATGCTTTTGCTTGTAAAACAAAGAAGTTTTTTGCAAGTCCAAGTGACCTTCTCCAATTTGGCCGCCATCAGCCAGTGACGGGTTTAGGTCAAACTGAAAGACGTCACTCAAAACAGGCTGAGACAATCAACAGAGGGAATTTACATCACTGGAAATACATTTTTTAAAGGCCAAAAAAAGTTGTTAAAGCCCAACAAACTCTCCAGAGAGTTGCTGTTCTGAAGAATGAACACTATATTCAATTCTATGGATGTTTAGTCAAATCTAAGAAGACGTTACATACATATCACTTAGTGGAAATATGTAGGAAAATTGAGAGTAGGCATCAGATATTACCCTTTTCTATATTTTCTCAAACAATGAAAACTGTATTTCCATACACTCCAGAGGAATTGCCATGCAATCTGAACACAAGAATTTTACAATCAATTTATCTGACACTATTTGTAATCCATGTATTCACTGGAAAAAAAAAAGAAGAGGCAAAGGCCCTTGTTCAGTATCAACCCAAGAATTACCAAAACTTAAGGATGGCACTTTTGCAAAGCAGAAGTTGTTAGCAATATCAGAAACATTTCTTAAAAAACTATACAAGGTAACAGTAAAAATGTCTTTGTCTCATACAGCTCACAGTTCAAACAGCAACAAGCAATATAAATTTTTACATAGAACAGGGAAAAAAGTGCTCCTCCAAGAAGCTTCTATTCTAAATAAAACTAAATTCAGATGAGAAATGGGAGAAGACAGGCAACGAAACCTGGCAGACCTTCAGGGGTTTTTGTTTTGGTTTTAATGATTTTTCCATATAAAAAGTTATGTTTCCCATCACAGCAAAGCCAGAGTTTCCAGGACCTGTAACAGATCTGTATTTCAGAACCAAGTTGATGCCATAGAGGGTGGAGTTCTTTTGCATCTTCTTTGCATGAGTGCCACAGCTCCCTTTGGCCAAAGTCATGTTTGAGGAGTAAATTAAAATTCTAAAGGTTTAAGTGCAATAAAAGCCTACGGGTTTTAC